ACTAATTAGATCAAATTGGACAAAAACAAATCTAATCGGAATAAATCAAAGTCAAATCCAATAAGATCAGATCAAATCTTCAAAAGTATCGAATCAAATCAAATTCAAATCTAGATGCATATTTGCCTGATCTAATCCTTAAATGCATCATACCAGATCTAAATAGATTGAATCAGAAAAAATAGATCTAACTAAATAAAGTAAAATTCAAATCTATTAAGATCAGATCAAATCTTCAAAAAAACAATTTAATTATATAGGCCTTGTCTTGTTTGCCTGATCTAATCTATAAATGCATCAGATCAGATCAAATTAGATCGAATTAGATTAAAACAGATATAATCTTTAAATGCATGAGATAAGAATTTAGTTAGAAAAATACTTGGGGTACACCAAAGGTGTACCCCAAATGTCCCCCACCCCCTCCTTGTCCACAAAAAAAGGCAAGAAAATTCAAAAAAATGAGTAAATAAAAATAAAATAAAAATGAGTGGTGGAGAAGGGGGTGGTGTACATTTGGGGTACACCTTTTGTGTACCCCTAGCATTGCTCATTTAGTTAATATTCTTAAAGTTTACCTCCAAATCTCTAAAATTTTAATTTCCCTCTTTCCAAATTCATTTTCCATCCCATAAATTTCATTCTCCCTCTTCCTAATTTCTCTTTTCCCTCCTCTAAAAAAACCCTATCTCTCGTTGATTATGGTCAGAAGAAAGAATCAAAATACCTCGCGCCGGTCTTCCCATCTGCATCGTAGTTCTTTGACGAATAAAGTTAACGAGTTCGGTCCATTCGTCTACCTCCTCGTCGCCTCTCCTCGGCTTCAACTAGAACTCGGATTCCGTCGGCAAACCCGTCGCCGTCGCCAAACCAGTTTCATCCGCCACCAATTTCAAGGTTTCTACTTTCTCGATCTTGAATTTCCCCTTTTGTATTATTTTAATTGGGTTCAATTTTGTAAAAGAAACTACTTCAATTGTTGAAATTCTATGTTAGGGTAGATATTTTTGCTCATTACTGGGTTTCAAACTCATTCCTGGGTTTCAGACAATTTTGATGGCTACTCTTCTGGTTTTGTAAGCGGTTTGTAACTCTCTTCCATGCTATGAAGTTTGATTGCAATACCATTTGAATTGTATTTCGATTTAAGGCATTTTGTGGTTCGTAGTTACTGTTCACAACGCCAATTAGGAATGTGAACTGTATTAGTTTCGTGCTTGTTTTTTGCCCAACTTTTTGTGGATTCCTGTGGTTTATTTTGAAATGTTGCTGATGATTACTCAATAACAAGTGCGCGGTTTACTTCTGATTTCAATTTGAGGAATGAATGCTTGGCTTACGGCTTTCAACTGTTGTTCTTGGTGCCGTGTTAGGCTTGACATGGGTTTTATTTTTTTGCTGCTATTGTTTGGTGTGAATTATGTGTTGCTTACTTTGTTGGGTACTCAATAGTCTTGTTATACACCTGAAATTGGAAGCATGAAGTGAGGGCTAAAGTCATTCATCTTTTGGGGTATTAATTAAAAAGTATTCTATTTTATGATTATTTCAATTTTAGCTCAAATTCCTTTTAACAATTATGTTTATGATTGAGCCCTTAATTAAAAATCACAAACATTCCAAATTTATTTATTTTTAAATATAACATCTAAATAAAATAAAATTAACAATCCATATTAAAAATATTCAAAACATTAAGATGGACAATTAATTACACCAACTTCTAACCCCAATGAAATTTAGAAGTTCATAATTTGAAGCTTAAACAAATAAATATTTATTACAAACATAAAAATATTACAAAATGGAAGATGTGTTCTTGAACTCCAAATATGATAGATGATGATGAAGATGGAGTAATTTTTATGTATTTGGATGAAGAAAGTGGTGAGATATTAGTGATGGAGAAGGAGAATTTCGGATGGGAGAGAGGAGAGAAATGGGGGGTTCCAACCTCTTAGAAGAAGAGAAGGGAGTGGATTTTATAGATAAATTCGTATATACGGAGTATATACGAACAGTCCCAAGAATATCAACAAAGCTACAGTAGCCCACATGGAAATGAGGCTGTTTGTGTCGCCACCTGATCCCGTGTTTGATTCCCCCCTGTACTGTCGGTGATTTGTCATTTTTCTTTCAATCAATGGATGGATAAAACTCTCATTTTCGTTCTAAGAGTCATAAATAGGGATTCCACATAAAATCATCATAAATTATCCATTTTATGTTCAAATGCTTGAGAAAAAGGGAATAAAGCATCAAAGGATCAAGATTCGGGCTTGAATGAGCTTCCGAGAAGATAAAATCGACGTTCGGGCCGAAAATCAGTGAAATTGGGCCAAGATCTCGTATCAGCCGCGAAGCCCAAACGGACTAGGGCCTAAGGCGTCCAACTTGGACGCTTGGCCAAGTTGGACGCTTGGGAGTTGGACGCCTTGGCTGGATTGCAGATCAAGGAAGACACGTGGCAAGCAGCGAATGGACGGGCCGCGTAAGGCGTCCAACTTTGGACGCTTTGGATCTGGACGCTTGGGACTTGGACGCCTCGGCCTCTGTCCTATAAATACAGCGCGATTCTCCCCATTCAACATATCACCATCATTCTCTTTCTCGGGAATTGAGCTCTATATTCCAGTTCCAAATATTAGTTTAGCATTCTAGTAGTTTTAGAATAATTTTTGGAGGAATTCTACTCCCGATCTGTTCTGTTCCGCTTGTACGGAAGTTGTTAGTTTTCTTTATTTAATAAAATGCTATTTTAATTTATGTTTGCATAGTATGAGTTAGGGTCTGGATCTCTGGGTCCGGACTAGTTTGGTTGTTTATTTTTTGATGTTAAATTAATGTTGGAATGGTTAATCTATTGTTCTTGCCTTATTTAGTTAATTATTCTCGAAAGATTTAATTAGCTATTTATTGAGAAGATATTCTATGCCAAAATGGCTATGATATTCAAGTGCAACAGATTAAGTACAGATCTAGAAATGGATGAGTAGTAATAGAAATATTATTATTCCAATTGTTAATTTAATATGATAAAATAGATCCAGATGATGTCTTGACCCTAGGTCCAGATCTACACTTATACTATGTAGACTTGATTTATTATTTTCACTCTGCTCTTTTACAATCGTTCCGAGAAGACATTCATAAACCAATCCTAACCTTCGCCTAGTTAGAGTAATTAAACTAATTCCCTTCGTCCACTCCTCGAGAGACACGACACTCGGAGAGAAAACTAACCCTTTACTGGGAAGGTTTGCTACCCGAAAACTACAACTGTCATCTTTTGAGGACGTCTTTGGGTGGATTAGTGTGTTCTTGTTAAGTTGTTTGAACAGATGAAGAACCATGCGCTTTGCGTTGAACTAGGAATCATGTTTAACTTCAAATGCTGGTCATGGTAATGGTGAAATGCTGGTCAGCTTGTGTATTGCTGTGTTGCTGTTTCTTTTTAGTTAATTCAAATGCTTGTTTGTACTTTGGCCTTGATTGGAATCTGCTGCTGGTTTGCCACTGGGGTGTGAGGGCTGGGAACATGGTTTTCCACTGGTTCTCACCTCCTCTTGAATAAGGTGCCTTGATGTTGGAACATCTACCCTGGTATAATGGTCTTCGTGAAAGTTCGACCTCTCTTTCAACCTCCTTAACACTAAACTTTGTCATACCTTACCTCATTTGCATGAGGTAGGGACTGATTTCAACCCTTGACATTTGTTGTTTGTGTGGAAGTTGATGTTGGAAGGGAGCTAGTAACCTTGTGCCTTGTTTATGCCTTGGGTATGACTGCACACGCTGGAAGGACTACCTGTTCAACCTTGCTATGGACTTTCCTGTGATTATGGGTGCTGGCTGGACAGTGGCATTCTGCTGCCATTGGCCTGGGCAGTAAGGCAGTAACGAAACAGCATTCCCCTAGAATTTGGATCTGTTTTGTGTATGGGCTGATAATGGTGGAGCTGCTGAATTTGGTTCGTACCAATTGTGGTGGAGCTGCTGATTTTGGGTAGTTGATGACTGACTTTTGGCTGTGGAGGACTGAATTTGGTTATTGCTATTGGGAGAAGTTGTGAAGGGCGGTTGGTCCTTAGTCACTTGTTCTTGGAGCCTTGGGGTCCCCCTTGCTCTCCCTACTGCTTAGGGGTTTCTTAGGGCAATTCCTGGTCCATGCCTGTTTTTGATGTCCACGGCGCTTGAGTGATGCTGTTGATGATGGGGTAGTTTTGGTATGCATGATGGAGGATCTCGCTGGTTCTTGTTCTCTGGTTGTGGACATCCTAGCGATACTCTTACCCGGTCAGTTGGAGGATGATTGCCAATCATTTTTATGCCGTCTTGAATGGTCAGAGCTTTCTCTGGTGATCTTGGCACTTTGTTTTCTTCCTTGACTATGGGTGGACGACATCGTGAACTCAGAACATAGCCCTCGTCGTCCCAGTTTCATTAGGACAACAGATAGGGGATGTTGATCGTAGTGTGGACAATGGAGCATGCCCGGCCTTGGAGCTCTTTGGACTTGCTTTGGACTCGACTGTACAACAATTGGGCAGCACGTTGTGGACTCAGTTGGGTTGGGTGTAGAGCTTGTGTTGGCCTGTATCTTGGAGCGGGCACTCAAAGTTCTGCCTTTCACTTTTGCCAATGCACGTTGGACTTGCGAGGAAGATGAGGACAGGAAATCAAAATGTGGTTTACTTTCTTTTTGTTTAGGCCTGCGTGCCATTTGGCAGTTTGTTGCCTACATTTGATTTTCAATTGTCTTTCGTGTTTGAGGGTGTGTGGATGTATCTTTTTAGAATTTGTGATTAGTGCTTGTAACCGTGTTGTGGTTGGCACTAGAATTGATGTATCTTTCTGATTTGGGTAATAATAATTTAAATGTTACCCGTTGAAAGAGAGCTCTCGAATCTTGAAAGAGCTCTCAATATATACTTTGGCCGAGACTTCTCTCTGGCGACGTCGTGCTACAGTAGCCCGTCACCATTGCCATCGTTTTTGAGCTTCATCTCTTGGTGCCTCACCATTTTGAGTGTAGATTCTTGTTCCCTATCCCTGGGCGACCATTTCTACCGGTAGAATTGTTCATCCATGCCCTTGTCCGTGTAGGGTGTGCGTTGACCTTTGTGGTTCACTGTTCACTGTCTTCCCCGATGCTTCTAGCGTTTCTTCTCTGAGTTGCTCCTGCTTCCATGGGTTCTGGCAAAGCCCAGAATGCTAAGAAAGCTAAGAAGAAGCTTCCCAGGAGTCCTAAGAAGATAAGGAGTGGAGATGATGTTACGGATACACCTAGTCTGAATACGGACATTGTTATGGAACTGCTTGAGAAGGAGAAGGCTCAGACTGATTCTTCCACGTCTGAGACATCCCCCCCTCATGTTGAAGATGTCCCAGACACATGTGCTCAGGTGGGGATAACCTCTACGCAAGAGAGCCCCCAGGTGTTCGACAAAATGCCTGAACCAGAGAAGGATGCTGCCAAACCTGTTACGTTTGCTGACCTCTTCAAGGGCAATAGGGACCCTGACCAAGGTATGATTCTGAAGCAATATGATGTTGGTGAAGGTGTTCTTCATATCCCGGATTCTATTATTAAACCTGTTGAAGAGCTGTGGGGTTTTTGCCTTGTGGGCTGCTTTACTGGATGCTTCCCTGGCCTCAAGGCAGTTGATGCTATTGTTAAAAGCTGGAATGTACCTTGTAGAATCATTTCCCACTGTAAGGGTTGGGTTATTCTGAAGTTTGAAAATGACAAAGATAGATTGGATGTGTTGGGCGGGGAAAGGGACAAAGCTTATGGGAAGGAGTTTAGACTCAAAATCCCTTCTCATGGTTTCATGTTTGATTTTGCTAAATTTACCACTCTACCTGTCTCGGTCCAGCTACACTATGTTCCATTGCAGCTATGGTCTGAAGAGGGGATTGGAATGCTAGCCTCAATAGTTGGAAAGCCTTTGAGAACTGATCTGGTTACCAAACAGCAAGGAAAGGGTAGATTCTGCACAGTGCTTGTTGAGGTAGATTTCTCAAAACAGCCTGTGACTAACTTTGAGGTAGCCTGTATAAGTAAGACATACACACAAATAGTGGTGTTTGAGGAAGACCCCAAATACTGCTTTCACTGCAAAACTTGGAACCATGGTCCCTTCTACTGCAAAGCCTTGGAGCTGGCAAGGAAGAAGGAATTGGCAGACTTGGAGGCCACACACAAGGTTGCTATGGATAAGCCAAATGATCATAAAGAACCCCCTGGGAAAGCTGGAGCTAGGGACTGGGTACCTACTGAGAAGAATATACATGTTGAACCTAAAGGGGGTTTGTTCCCTTCTTCTTCCAACTACAAGGAGAAGGATAAAGAACCCATTCCCAAAATTGGAGGCCTGGTTGTTGACAACATGGTTGGAAAGGGAGCTGATTTGCAAAAGAAGAAGAGGAATGTAGATGGAGACATGGTTGGGAAGAGACCAGAGAAGAAGAAAGGTGGTAAGGGCAATGCCCATCCTCCTCCATGAATATATAAAACGCAGAAATAAGTGTAAATAAAATGCACACCGAATTTATACTGGTTCGGGAACTCCCTACTCCAGTACCTCGAGGCTCCTCTTCCTCCTCAAGGATTTCCGAATCCACTAAGTCTCGGTCTCTTGAACTCCGTCAAAGCACCGTACTAGTTTGGCAAACAACCCTTGCCAATAGGATTCACTCCGAGATTTCACCACGGCTATCTCGAACCGTTTACAATGAAGATTTAACGACTATCTTCTACCTTTCCCCCAAGGATTTCCAAGGCTATCCTTGAACCTATTGTTGGAGTGGTGCCCTTATGGCCAACTGCTGTTGTAATATCTTCGATATTTTCTATCATGTAAAGGCAGATGCATTATGTTTACAAACATCTCATGCTAATGTAAACTCTTAATTGCATTCCTAGAAATATATTATAAGATGTTTATCAGAATGAGTCTTCTGATGTTGAGACTGACATCTTGTCACTTAGTATAATTCTGAACGGTCTATATTCGAAGCATTAACGAGAGTGGGATATCGTTAGTGCGCGTGAGACTAGTGAGAGTTAGATGTTTGACCTAGTCTCTTGGTCAATGACGGAGTGTTCGCATCTACTCTCGGGCAGATATTATCGTTAATAATAGGATGCCAGACCTGACCCGCCTTAAGGGCTTATAGTATTGGTGTAGAGTCAATACTGTGGCCAGTTTTATAAGTGCCTATATGGGTCACACTCTTTGAACATTTGAGAGGAGAAGAATTAAATTCTTCCCCCCTTTTTCTACTTTCGTACTATGCTTTTTGGTGGAGGTCATGGGATTGTCTCCCACTTTAAATTGTCTCCCACTTTAAAATTAGTGGAGGAAGAGTTTTTGACAAAATGGCATTTTGTACTCTTATGGTTGTTTATGTGTTTTATCATTTTGAATAAAATAAATTTCTTCCTTCACTACACTTGCCCATTCTCTTTCGGTCAAACCAAAGAAAAAGGGGAGAAAATATTTTGGTTTCCAAAATTATTATTTTAGGTGTAGAAAATTGATATAATATTTTCTTTAAAATATTATTGATATATTTTCTACTATTTAATATACAAGATTAATATTATCTCTCTTAAATCTTTATATTAAATATACTATTATAATCTTTACTAGCATAAAGAGTATAGTAGACTCCGGAGATTGTTCGTGTGTCAAAGTTGGAGGCCGGACGCTTGAACGGCTACGTTTGCTCCTTCAACACTTTTTGCTCGACTACACGTTCATACCGCTTTATCGGAGAAGGTATAACTTTCTATCTCTAGCTATAGTTTTAGTACGTGTTCTTGGGCTAGTAATCACTTTTGGGAGATTATTTTTTTATTTCCGCTTCCCTCCCAACCGTGGTTACCTTTCAGTGGTTTCAGAGCCAACGTACAAAACCATAGTTTTTCGTAGAACGTTTTCGGATGGAAATTATTTTTTTAACTTGGTAATTATTTGTTAATTTCGAAAATTAGTAAAATGATTTATTTTAGTCTTGGAATAAATATTGGACTTAAATAAATCATTAAAATAAATGTTCATTATTTATTTGTGCCGAAAATATATATTTTATACATATATTCGGAAATTTCGAATATATATTAATATATATTTCAAAATTTTTAATATAATTTTACTGAACATAAAATTTCATTTTATGGTTAGTAAAATTGTATTGTAATTTTCGAAATTGTTTATTTCCAATTTTTGAGTTAATTGTATTTGTTTAGATTTAATTCCAATAAATCTTAAATAAATATTGGATACTCAAAAATGAACTTTATAAAACTTGGAAATATTATTTCTAGGTGAAATAAAGTTGTTCATAAATATATTGGACAAAATAATATTAGTTAGTAATTAATTATACATATATATATATTTCGGCATATATATATTACCTAGTAATATATATAAATATAAATAAATAAATAAATAAATAAATAAATAAATATATATATATATATATATATATATGTAAATTGAAAAGAGCTAATATCATTTTGGAAAATTATATCTCAGTAAAAAGTAAGTTTATTTTTCAATGATTTTTGAAAAATGATTTAAAATTATTTTTGCAATTATTGAGATATAATTAATATATTTTGGAAATAAATATTTATAAATTCTGGAAATTTAGTTTTCCGATTTATAATCGTATAAAATAGTTACTGGAATTTGGAAATTAATTTTCATGATTTTTGAAAATTTAAAATAAATATTGGAATAAACCTTGCACTAGGGGCAATTTCGTAATTCTGTGTTTCCTGGAAAATTATTTTTTAGTTTTGCCCCTGCCCGAAAGTCTCCTAATGTATTTAGGATTACTTGGTAAAATTTCATAATTTTTGGACCAAATAATGAATTTTTATGAATTTTAGAAAGAGTAAATTCTATAATTGGTCCTTTATAACAGGGGGGTTTCCCTATTTAGTCCTCTATTATCAAATATTATCCCAGTGGTCCTTCTTTTATGGGTACCTTTCCACAAATAATCCCTTTTTTTGATCTTCTATCATGTTGGTGTTAATTTGAGGGCTAAAAGTGTAATTTCACAATGATAATATATCCTTTTTGTCATACACAATTCTAAAGGCTGTTCCGTTTGCGTCGTTTGTGAATTACAGTCGCTTTTTACGACAACGATAGTCTACAAATATATCTTTCGTCAGAATCCTAGCCCACAATCATAGCCATTATTTTTGTGTTATCCGCTTAACCAATATCAGAACACGTCACTAGACATAATGTTGATGTCAAATTATACTTTTAGCCTTTAAATTAACACCAACACGGCAAAAGATCAAAAAAACGACCATTTGTGGAAAGGTACCCTTAAAAAAAGGACTACGGGGGTAATATTTGATAATAAAGGACTAAATATGGAAACCCCCATGTTATAAAGGACCAATTATGGAATTTACTCTTTTAGAAAATATTACCAACGTAGTATTTTTCTAGAATTGTCTGGGGCGAGCGCGGTTCGCCCGGTGTATGTATATCTCTTTTGCCTGTGTGGATGTATGATATGCATGGTGGATTATTGTGGCTTTAGTTATTCATTATTGATGTAATTAAAATACGGCCTGCGTGTCGTGCCTTATCTCTTAAACTCTCGTTGTAAATCTATTTCGCTCTCTTACCTCAACCGAGGATTCTTTTCTCACGTGGTGGTTAGAAGATAAAAGGATTTGAAGTCCGTTCGAGGGAATCTAACGGAATGGAGATAGCCCAAAGTCCATGTGCCTGGAAGTCAGTGGGAGCTATCGTTTTATTTTTCCTTTAGGGGCCACAATCATTACACGTTTATTTACTGCGTATTTTGAATGCATGTGAATGTATGTTTTACGCTAGTAAATTGACACATGCGCGGCACGTGTCGTAGGTGAGATCGTAATTAATATAAAATCCCTCTAAATATTAAGTTTGTATTGCCTTCCGGCGCCCGGCACCTTTCTGGCTAATGTACACTGTCACGTACTCAGCCCTAGCAGAGCGTAGTACGGTGTATGTTATGCTGGTCACGGGAATCACTTAAGTGGTCATTGTCAGACGTTGGGATAGACTTAACTGAGTCTCGGTCAAATAGATGGATGACTCAGAGGCGGGTTTTGTTGGGGTCACTATACTGACAAGTCGAATTACTTTACTCACTCATCCAACCAGAATTGAAGTTGGGTCTCTATGACTTAATTGGGCTTGGCCCTAACTAAAGTAGTTGTGCATGTGGTACGTGCCAAAGCCAATCACATGTATAATGAAACGGTGTTCTTGTCCGTTAGTAGTATTGTCGTTCGCCCAACACAAGACCAAGAACTGTGAGCGCGGCTCGACAGTTGGAACTATGTTCCTACCTATATAGTTAAATTCTAGGTACGAACCTCAGGTCAACTAGAATTTAATGATATATGGATCTTGGCCCATTAAGAGAATCTCAAGGAGAATCTCCGAATCAACATTGAGGGTTGTTGGTTTGTTAAAATAGTGGGAAATAATTAATTAAAAGGCCTAATTAATTATTCAACATGATAGATAACCTAGTTTGCAATTTCATTCTGTAGATGGCATCGAATAACACGTACAGTCATTCCATCAACCTGCGATATATCCTCGAGAGCCAAAAACTCTCTGGGGAAAACTTTCTTGACTAGGAGAAGAACCTCCGAATCGTTCTTGACCGTGAGAGGAAACTTTACATCCTCGAAACGGATCCTCCCAAGACCCCTAAGGCAAATGCTTGTGCATCCGAACTCACTTCCTTCAAGAAGTATGAGGATGACGCGCGAGATGTTAAGTGTATCATTATGGCAAGTATGACCGCAGAGCTACAAAGGCTCCACGCGGACATGGAAGTGCGTCCTATGATACAACGCTTGAGAGACCTTTACCAGGGTCAACCCCAAAACTCAGATATTTACATTATCGAAGTCAATATGTCTGATTTCACCTCTTGGGTGATGGATACTGGATGTGGTTCCCACATCTGTACTTCTATGCAGAATCTGCATGAAGTTAGACATTTGACTGAGGGAGAAGTCCAGCTTAAGGTCGGAAATGGAGCACTTGTCAATGCGCTGGCTGTAGGAACTTATGTTCTATCTCTCCCTAGTGGCTTATTGTTGCATTTAAACAATTGTTTGTTTGTACCTGCAATTAGCAGGAATATCATATCTGTGTCCTGTCTTAACAAAGCAGGATTTTCTATTAACGTCAAAGACAAGTGCCTTTCGGTTTTCAGAAATGATATTTACTATGAAACTGCTAAGATGACCAATGGTCTTTATATCTTAGACTTAGATGCCACTGTTTATAACGTAGATGTTAAGAGAAGCAAACCAAACAGTTTGAATCTCACATACCTTTGGCATTGTCATTTGGGCCACATTAACTAGAAATGCATATCTAAGTTACGTCACTCTGGCGTACTTGATTCATTTGACCTCGAGTCTTATGATGTATGCCAATCTTGTTTACTTGGTAAAATGACAAAGGCTCCATTCACCGGTCACGCTGAAAGGGCGAGTGATGTATTAGGCCTCATACACTCTGATGTGTGTAGCCCAATCAACACTGAAGCTAGAGGTGGTTTCTCATACTTCGTGACATTTACTGACGACCTCAGTCGGTATGGATATGTGTATCTCATGAAACACAAATCGGAATGCTTTGACAAATTCAAAGAATTCAGAAACGAAGTAGAGAAACAGTTAGGCAAAAGTATCAAGACCCTCCGCTCGGATCGAGGAGGTGAGTACTTGAGCCTGGAGTTTGATGACTATCTAAAAGAGCACGGGATCCTATCCCAGCTGACTCCTCCCGGTACAGCCCAATTAAATGGAGTGTCTGAAAGGAGAAACCGAACGCTGCTCGATATGGTTCGGAGTATGATGAGTCTGACAACATTACCAGAGTCTTTTTGGGGAAAAGCACTATTAACAGCAGCACACACACTCAATCGCGTACCATCTAAGGCTGTTGGGAGCACACCATACGAGCTATGGTGTGGGACAAAACCAAATTTGTCGTACTTGAGGATTTGGGGTTGTGATGTTTACGTTAGATGCCTCATGACGTCTGGTAAGCTAGATTCCAAATCTGACAGGTGTAAATTTGTGGGATACCTTAAGGAAACGAAAGGGTATGAGTTCTATCATCCGACCGATAACAAAATCTTTGTTGCTCGGAACGGAACCTTCCTTGAGAAGGAGTTTCTCTCTGCTATTTCTAGTGGGAGAAAGGTAGACCTCGAAGAAATTCGAGAACCACAAGAAGAGATCTCAATAGCAGTGGAACCCGAGCGTCAAGATTTAGTATCTCGACCGGCTCAGGTTTTACCACGCAGGTCAGACCGGATGCGTAATCCTCCGAGTAGATACGGCTTCCTTGTATCTGATGAAGGTGACGTCTTGCTGGTAGACCAAGGCGAACCTGAGACCTACCTCGAGGCAATCACGTGCCCCGAATCCGAAGAATGGCTTAATGCCATGAAATCCGAAATGGAGTCTATGTACACAAACCAAGTCTGGACCTTGGTTGATGCGCCCGAAGGGTGAAAGTGGATTTTCAAAAAAAAAAACAGACGTAGACGGGAAGGTTCATACCTTCAAAGCTAGATTTGTAGCAAAAGGTTATAGACAATTCCACGGAATTGACTATGACGAAACCTTTTCTCCAGTTGTGATGCTGAAGTCCATTCGGATAATGCTTGCGATTGCAGCGTTCTACGATTACGAGATTTGGCAGATGGACGTCAAGACGGCTTTCCTTAACGGGAACCTCAAAGAGGATGTCTATATGACACAGCCTGACAGTTTTATAATTGCTGGTGAATCTGCCAAAGTCTGAAAGCTGCAACGGTCAATCTACGGATTGAAACAAGCATCTCGGAGTTGGTATATACGCTTTGATGAAACCATCACTAGTTTTGGTTTCGAGAAGAATTCTGATGAGTCTTGTGTTTACAAGAAGGTCAATAGGAGTGTGATAGTATTCCTAATCCTATATGTCGATGACATATTGTTAATGGGTAACAATGTTCCTGCTCTTACGTCTGTAAAGACTTGGCTGAGCGAGAACTTCTCCATGAAGGACTTGGGGAATGCTAGTTATGCCCTTGGCATAAGAATCTACCGTGATAGGTCAAGAAAGTTGATAGATCTATGTCAAAGTACATATATAGATAAGGTCCTTAATCGATTTAGCATGTCTAACTCGAAAAAGGGATCCTTACCTATGTTACCTGGCACGGCTCTTTCCAAGAGCCAGAGTCCTTCTACTCCCGAGCAAAAGGAACTCATGATGAAGGTCCCATATGCTTCTGCAATTGGTTCCATCATGTATGCCATGATATGTACTAGACCTGATGTCTCATTCGCTTTAAGCGTGACCAGCAGATACCAGGGGAATCCAGGTGAAGCACACTGGACAGCGGTCAAAAACATCCTAAAGTATCTTCGGAATACTAAGGATGCATTCCTGGTATATGGAGGTGAGGAAGAGCTGAAAGTGATCGATTACACTGATGCGAGCTTCCAAACCGATCGAGACGATTACAAATCACAAGCAGGGTATGTGTTTTGCCTGAATGGCGGAGCTTTTAGCTGGAAGAGTTCTAAACAGGACACAACTGCCGATTCAACTACAGAGGCTGAGTACATGGCTGCTGCCGAAGCAGCAAAGGAAGGTGTTTGGATAAAGAAGTTCATTTCTGAACTTGGAGTGGTTCCTAGCATTAATGACCCAATCCTGTTGTTTTGCGACAACACTGGGGCCATTGCACAAGCAAAGGAACCACGATCTCACCAAAAGACCAAGCACATTGTACGACGTTATCATATCATACGAGAAATCGTAGACAGAGGTGATGTAGAGATTTGCAAAGTAGGAACAGACGACAACATAGCCGACCCCCTGACCAAGCCCTTAGGAAAGCTAAAGCATGAGGGTCACACTAGGTCAATGGGCACTCGACCGATGCCAGATTGGCCATAGTGCAAGTGGGAGATTGTTGGAGTTGGTTCCCTTATGGCCAACTGCTGTTGTAATATCTTTGATATTTTCTATCATGTAAAGGCAGATGCATTAAGTTTACAAACATCTCATGCTAATGTAAACTCTTAATTGCATTCCTAGAATTATATTATAAGATGTTTATCAGAATGAGTCTTCTGATGTTGAGACTGACATCTTGTCACTTAGTATAATTCTGAACGGTCTATAGTCAAAGCATTAACGAGAGTGGGATATCGTTAGTGCGCGTGAGACTAGTGAGAGTTAGATGTTTGACCTAGTCTCTTCGTCAATGACGGAGTGTTCGCATCTACTCTCGGGCAGATATTATCGTTAAGTGTCCTTAATGCGACTATTGGTATAACGATCCTCAGACTTGAAGTATTACGTTTTTCGAATGTGTGAAACCGCTGGCGGGTCGGAGCGTTTTCCGGCCAACTCCGGGGAAACTGACGGCGGGCACCAACGCCAATGCGGTCGTGGCATCCGGGCGACCTCCAAGGACCCCTCAATTGCAAGATTTGATGAAGATTTGCAAAACCCCCAATTTTGGATCCAATTTCGAATTTTAGGGTTTTTTCGAGTAGAAAAATTCAAATTCGAGAAGTTACAGGCCAAATTAGACAAAATGGTTTGGATATTATTGATCCTTGTCTCAAGACGAAGAGAATGACATTGGTCCCGCCGGAATCGGAAAAAGTTCATTTTCCGGCGACTTTGACCGGCGGGCGGCGGCGGCGGGGCGTGGAAGAAAAGAAAAGAAGAAATGGGGTCAAATTGAAAATTTTAAAATATATAAAATTCGAATTTGGCCCTAATGACCGGAAGTTAACCTAGAAACGGGCTAATGGCTCATTAGTGAAAGGATTGTGTAAGTTCAGGGATTTTTGTGAAAGGATTTGAAGTTCAGGTACCACTTCGAAATTCCAGCTAAAGTTCAGGTACCATTTGTGAAATTTACCCCACTTATTTGATGTATTTGGCTAAGAAATCAAGTGAGACACTTTAAAAACCACGTCATTTGAGTAAAAACTACGGCTAGCCAAGTTTATGCTGTTTTGTGTGGTTTTTGCCAAACGACCAAAAACGAAAGATGGTTTTCAAATTGTTTTTGTTGGAGAACTGTTTAAACATGCCCAGAAGTAAAAACCAATCATTAAATGTTTAAAACCACTTGGTTGGTTCGGACGCCAAAAACCAATGCCGAACGCCAGTTTCTGAAAGCCAAATGCCGGTTTCTGAAAGCCAAACGCTGGATGGCTTGGTTTTTGGTTTGGGCGAATACCAAGAGTTTTTAATGTTTTAAACATGTTTGAAAAACATTTTTTATGATATGAGTAATAAGAAAATAGATTTTAGCCTAAAGAGCCAAGGCGTGAGGTTTGGGTTGGTCTTGATCACATTTCTGACCGTCACAACGACACTATGACTACGGTCTTCGTTCTTGGCAGCGTACGGAACAGAGACGCGTAGGCGTATTTATGTTCTTAGGGTTTTGTACTCTATAATTTAAAATAACGTGTCTGAGTAAAAACATACTTTTTGGACCAACTTGATCCGAATTGAGATCTGTTCGCATCGTTGGATTTGATTCGTCGATCCTTACCCAACGATATAACTTTTATAATCATTCAATCAGTATTTACCGGTTCCTCTTAGTCCGTATTAATTATTTCATTTAATTAGTACCGATTAGTCTTTTACTTTAAATCTTACAAATATAATCAGATTAGTCTCGTTACATTGTGACGATCCTCCGGAGAGAGCATAGACTCGTGATCGAGATTCGTCTTTTAATACCAATTAGTCTTTTACTTTAAATCTTACAAATATAATCAGATTAGTCTCGTTAAATCTTACGTATATTCTCCAGACACATCCTCAGCTCTGTCTCCTCCAGAGAGAGCATAGACTCGTGATCGAAAATGACGCTGATGGTAGGCAAATCTGATGTGCGTGTCAGCCACTGACACAACTCCCTGCACCTAGGCCCGAATGAGATGTATGAGCTCCGGTCAACAACATCCTGTACGGGAGAGCTAGGAGGAGTAGTGGGGCGTACGTCGAGAATAGGACGGGATTTGCTTGATGAGAAGTCGCCATGTCGAGCCGTGTGCAACAGGGGCTACAAATATTTTCAAAACAAAGATATTTGAAACACATCCAAATGATGTTGAATAAAAAAGAACTAAATTTATTTACTTTTACATCTCCAAAGCCCACCAACGACTTTGGCCATGCAATGAAGCTCCCCTCGCAATGGTATACTCACCCATTCCAGGAAGCACAAGGGTCACAGAGACCTTAACCTGGTGAGGAAGGAGGGGAACACCGTGCACCACATCTCCCGGTGCACGTGGGAAAACCGATCCATGTGCCACTATATAATCGGCTGGATCAGAGATCCTCAAGTAACAAGTAGCAACCTACAAAAAACCATGGACCATGCTAGGGTGCCACCACATGGGTGCTACCATGGGTGCACCCATGTGGTGGCACCCTAGCATTTTCCAAAAAACATTAATAATATAATGTCGGAAACAAGTAAACGTAAACCGAACTTTAAACCTAAATTAAAAAATATATGTACATAAGTGAGATCGGCGAAGTCAACAAAATCTGTACACGCCTTGCTACTACGCTACCCATCAGGAGGTGCTATAGAAGGTGTGTGCTGCGACATGGATCCAAAGTCTGGAGCACCCCAGGCACAAATACTCCATACTGCTGCAGAAGGGAAGGAAGACACTGCAAAAATCCTCCTGAGTCATATAGTTACCTTCGGGCTTACGAGGCTTCATGTTGCCTTTGAAAACTTTACGTAAGCCCGAATATGACCCAACACCCCTCGTCCGCCCCGGGTGCTCGGCAGTCCCTAAAGCTCTAGTCAGTACATCATTGTGCCCTTCGGGCACAAAGGTACCGGCTGCGACCTCTTTCTTTAGCTAGACCTACAGTTAAGAAAGAAAACAAGTAAACAAACTATAAGCAAATAATAAACAAGTAATAAACAAATATATTGACATAATTGTAGATTATATGCTTACTATTCTATCACGAATCTCCATCAGTGCAGGGTCCGTAACTTCTGCCTGCCTCCCCGGGGTGTGACCTCACTACGCCAAAAACATCATCAGACCACTGTTGATTCACTACTGTTTATGCAAACACAGTAGTTGAAAAAAAACAGACTACTGTATGTTTTTCTTGGGAACAGAATGGTAGTCTAGCTGCTATGCTTTAAAAATATTTTTCAAGTTTTGAGAAACGGTAATGTATCATTAGTTGTCTGTCTCAGTTCAAAATACAGTTTTTCTTACAACAGTTGTCAATAACAAGTTAAGAATACTCTTTTTAAACAATAGTCTGGGTTGTTATTCTAGAACTGCTTTTAAATTTATTAGAAATAGTTATCTAATGTTTGTTGTCTGTTTCATATGGTTTTTTTGCCATTGTTGTTTATAATAGGAATAGAAGACTCTTTTGGAACAATAGCCTATGAATTATGGGTAGAACTGTTTTTGAAGTTGTGAGAAACGGTCATCTATTATTAGTAGTCGGTTTCGTAAAAAAATACAGTTTTTATTGCCACAGTTGTCAATAATTAGTTAAGACTACTATTTCTTAACAGAAGTCTGGTTTCCCAGTGTATAACTGTTTTTAAACTTATAAGAAATAGTAATGTATTACAAGTAGTGTGTGTCACACTATTTTTTTCACAGTTATCTATAATAAGTAAAGAAAATTGTTTTTTAAGAGAATTGTGCATATTAAGCCTAGAACTATTTTAAAAGTTAAGAATACTCATTTTAAATAGTAGTCTAGCTCTTAAGCCTAAAACTATTTTAAAAGTTTGGAGAAACGGTAATCTTTTTTACAATGAAAAAGTATACGCTCTCTAACTTTACATTCATACTTTCAGGCAAAATTTATACAACAATCAAATAACCGTCGTTGTTCCAAACAATTATATGGACATGAAAAAATAAACACTTCCATTGAAAGAAAAGAAAAAGTACATGGACAACACACAAAGAGAATTGGATGGGAACTTGGCCTCCAGGCTTTGGCATAGCAGCATCACCATAACCATCCACAATAGATTCATCACCTTTCAAAGCCTTCTTTTTCTTCTTTTCTTTATTACCCGCTGCTAGTGGCATGGCAGTAGGTCCAGTTGGCTGTCTGACTTGAAGTGGTGGCTTGAGCTACTTGATTTGGCATGGCAGTAGCACTACCAGGGGCATTTGGGCCTTTTCTATTTTTGAGTCCTCAACAAAACAGCAAAGAATGAATAGTAACATGAACAGTGTAAAGAAACCAACAAACCTTCAGCTCCAAAAAAAACAGCCCAGGCAGTGACCAAGACAGTGAGAAACACTCCATTTTGCCCAATTGCAGCAGCTGTCTCGTCCCCCTATCTTCATGGCCCTGTCCAAACTATGGCTTTCCAAAGCATCACAGCAAACAATTCCAACACACACTCAAAACCCACCCCAAACCAAAACAAGTCAAGCACTCCAAACCC